GTGTGTGTGTGTGTGTGTGTGTGTGTGTGTGTGTGTGTGTAAAGACATTTCTACAGTGTATTGTATTTCTTTCAGTGTTTAAATTGTAACGACTGTTTTGATGTTGGGTGCCCGTTTACATCAGAGAAAGTGACTTCAGTTAGACTTAGCTTTTGGATTAACTTAGGTAAATTTACATTTAACTTGTTTATAAATGATTGATGTTTTCTGTTTTTAATTAACAAATTATGATCAAAAAATATCAGTGTAGATTTAATTGATATAGCACCTTAAAAAACACTTGAGGTTGAGCAGACTGCTTTGATATTGCTTCATCGTTAAATGACACTGAAAACGTATTTTAATAAATAATTAAAACATAACAAAACACACAAAACTTCATTAAAATCTTATGGTCTATTTGAATCAAAATCCAAAGAAAAAAGATAAGTATTCAGCAGAGATTTAATTATTTCGGTTGTCTTTGCAGTGTGTATATGAAAGGGTGAGCTTTCCTATTAATTTGGGACAACAGTAGGATTAAGTTTAAGTTATTTACACTTAAAATGTAGGTATAAATTTAAAATTCACATGTTACATAATTGTTGGAGATAATAAAATCAAGAAAGGTTATTAGCTGAGTTCACCTGACATCATATTTCAGCTAATGCCACAGCCGCTGGTGCTCAAGTTGATCCAGAAACTTGGAAGTTCATCCTGCGTTAAACAAGTGGGCCATCCTGGAGGTCAGAGTGGGCTGTGATACAGACAGCGGCCACCAGGAGGAGTAAACAAACCAGAAAACACAAGCAGCATCTCAACAAACAGCAACAAACATCCCTGCACTCCAGTGGCATGATCCCACCAACAGGGTGGGCCAGAGAGTGCAAACCAAACAWGTGAGCTGTTTGTGCCTCTTGTGAAGACATATAAAAACAGGTGGATGAACATTCTAACACTACGGAGCTGCAGTAGGGGAAAAAAGTTCTGTGACTTTATTTTTTTAACAAATACATTCCAATTTTCCCACTTCCTCTGCACCCAGGTGTGTGTTTTGCAGGTGTTCCGTATGCCCTGCAGCTCATCTTTAAACCTTAACGGCACTATGGGTGTGTTGCCACGAGGAGAGAAAAAAATGGAAAGTGCTTGAGTGTTTTTTTTTTTATTTTTTGGAAAGTTGAAACTTTGTWTAATCTTGTGCTTTTAGTGAACTTCTCTGTAATTCCACTGGGAGGAAACTCACTCTTGACGCTTAAATCCCTGTGACATTTGGTTTTTGGAGAGCCCCCTTCCCAAAGCCTCCTATATAGCCGCWAGCATACAGACACACATACACGCACACACACACACACTCACTGGCATATACACTTCATGAATACTGAGCAGAAACTTAGTATAATATTCTTGTACAAGGTGAGCCAGGGTGCAGAGCAACACAAAAGGGTTATTTTTGGCACAGTAAGGAGGTTTTTGGCACAAACGTGAGGCTTGAACATTTTTCTTAATCCTCATCTGGACAGACTGGCTGTGTGCATATTAGGGCACTGTGTGTTTGTTTGTTTGAAGGGAGATCTACACCAGTTCCTATCCCTATGCATGAACTTGCAATGCTAAAATCAATATGCATGTTTGCCCTCTAGTAAGGGGAGCAGAGGGTGTGAACGGCTGCAAGTCTCAACAGCATGAAGAGCACTGAGGTCCAGGCAGACCTTATGAGTCATAAAACAAAGTCACTCAGGGCCTTTTCGGTTCGCTCACTTTGTCGTCTCACTTCCTCTCTCCCCCTCTTCGCTTCCATGTCTGTGGCTGAATTAGTGGGCTATACTCCAAACAGCATTCTGACTCATTGAAAACAACACAACACATTGATCTGCTGCAGCGTGCGGGTTATTCCTGCCATCTTGGGTGGTGGGGGTTCAAAGTTCATTAAATCAGCTATTTTTATTTTTATGTTTCCAAGGACTTAATATGTTTTCATTCTGTTTGCTTTCAGACATTTACGACMCTAAACCTAACAGATAACATTCATATTGTGAGTCAGGAGAGGTAGCTTGGTGATCCGTGCCGCTGAGACTGCGATTCAAGCCCAGGTTCTGTCAAGAAGAGTATTTTTGCTCAGTGAGGTGACCCCCAAAGAAGGCAGCAGTCACAACAACAACATTGATACTGTGAAGGACAAAAATGAAGAGTTTTGCTTTTAAACTAAACCTTTTGCACACGAGCCATGTTACTGTCCACCATATGGACACAAAACAATACTTACTACTAATACTAATCAACATCATGAGTGAGAGGTACTTCCTGGTGTGTGAARTGTGACTATTGTGCTGCTCTGCTAACCCAATGAACAGTGCTGATACAACGCATTAAGAGTTGATTTTATCTTTAGGTTACAGTGCAGAACTCTGTGGTCTCTGACTCACACTGAGGAAAAAGAAAAACATGATAGTATTATACAATAAACTGTACTTTTTAAAGAAAATGTAGCGTAACATCAACTCCATAAAAATAACAGAGTTGCAAAAATAAATTATTTTAAACTGATTTACTTGTTTTATGTCTTTGTTTTATAGTAAATATAATTACCCAGAATAATAGAGTAACTTCTTTTGGAGTAGTTAACACTTGAACATGTTAAACGAACATTTGTTTTTTTTTTTGTTCAGGGATCAGTGTTAACTATTTTATCCCACAGTGTTAATTTAACTCTGTTTTGTGAGTTAAAAAAGAACTTTAATGCAGTGTTAAAAATGTAACTATTTTGATATTTAACTCTGAAGAGTGTAGACCTATATAAACCCTGAAAAAGTGTTAAAATCAACTGCAATTTTTTGCAGTGTCCACTACTACTACTACTACTACTACTACTACTACTAATAATAATAATAATAATAATAATAATAATAATAACAAAACTCTGAAAGTTGAATGAGAGTGGTCTTTGACTCAAATGCTTGTAAAGGGTCTCTGTAAATCATGTGCCTTCTGTTTCCTGTACTTTTTCTTCTTTATGGTTATGGGGCCTTGCTGTCAACAGACTGAAGTTAGGGGCCTACAACAGAAACAGACAAGCACATTTACACCTACTACACATTTAGAGTAACACATCCCAAAGGTGGGGTTGGGGCCCCACTCTGGGTCATRAAGTGAAGGTCCTCAGATAATCTCCAGATGTCAATTTACATTTAGGAATTTATCACCAATGACTTGTTATCTCTAGAATTGTCAYAAGGATTAAAACAGTAGGACAGTTTGGGTTGTCATGTTCTTGTTTAGTATAGATATCAGCAAAGTGTGTAGATTTAAATTGTAGTAGATTTGGATAGCAAGTCTTTGTCAGAATCATTTTATGTGTATGTACCCAAAAAGCTTGAAAACCGCTGATTTAGTGGGTTTAATCTGCTTTACATGCATGATTTTAGGGGAAATTAATTGAACGAATGAAATGTTTGGAGACAAAAAATAACACGCAAATGCCACACCAAGGAAGTAAGAGAAAACTCAGAGAAGTAATATATATATAT